CTCGAAGCGTGGTTGAAGATTCGTGTCCTGAAGTGGGTTTCTAAGGTCCTTAATGACTATACCCCAAATTTTGACAGGACCTTTTAGCCACCGAGAATTGACCTACTTAGACTGCGATGAAGGATGGAGGTCTGACTGACCTTTTTATGCAACACTTAGATAAGTTCTATTGCACTGGCTTAGCCTTGTTGTGTGGAGGGTCATTGGTTTATCTGGTAAACTTTGAGACACACACTCGTGCACGCAAATACTCACAAACTCAAACAAATACCCCGCCCCTTCCCCTCACACACACAGACGTACATTTCAAGCGCAATAAAGCAGCATGCAGTGTCTCTTTTAACTTTAACAATTCGTCAACGACTTAAATTTTCGAATGTTTTATATAAAAGTCGAAAGTAAACAATATCAAAACCAAATGTGAGGCAGCGTGGTGGAATCAGGCTCTCGTCAAGTTTTGGGCAAGTAGAGTTATTGGTATCATCTTAAAGCTAGTTCACTTGTCTTTATTTGGATGAAAAAAATATCCATTTATCTTGAATATAAGTCGAGATATTTGCGAAAGAAGGAGGTGGGGGTCACCTGTTTTCAGAAGTAAAATTAGTGAGAAAATGGCCGCCAAAGATAAGTTATTTCCTTAGCGTAAGAGTCCGTGGTAACAGAAAATTTACCTTCTTGTGCCTTTAATCAACGCTTTTCAAAAGAATCCACTCAGAAATGAGTTCTTTAATGGGCGTGAAAGGTGTTGAGCCAAAAAACAATAATTTGATAAAAAGTTTCTTAACTTTGATTATTTTGACCAAGGCCCGATTCCACCACGCTGCCTCACAAATTGCGAATTCAAGCCGCCTGCTCACAAAAACTCCGGTTTATAGTTACAGTTTAGCTCTATCAACGTCGTTCCTCAAATGTTGACAAGGTATTGCGTGCCTCTGTTGCCATTTCTCTCTTAGACTGAGCGGCGTCAGTAGCCTTGCGGTTACGCTACCATGCAGACCCGTAATGGTAAGATTGCGTTTTCGGGGGTTCAACATCAGCTCGAATCCTACTTTGTGTCCTTGGGGAGGGCACTTTACACGAAATTAATATTTGGCTTGGCCCTTTGGAACATGGACGCATTCAACTCGAAAGTCCCGCCTCTGAAATAACCAAATGGTGTTGATAGGGGTGTTAAACCTATATCCGTTCATCATTTCTTTCATCATTTTCAAATGTTAATAATAATAAATAATAATAAATGACATTTATATAGCGCTCAACCTCGATTAAAGTACACAGGCTCTGAGCGCTTTACAATACACTACAACGTACAACAGTAACATAAAACGTTGTGTTCTGACTAAAGAATTTTTTTCCAAATATTCCTCTTATTAATTTAAAAACAGAAACGAGTGTTAAAACTATATTATAATTAATTACGTACTTCAGTTGTCTTTTCTCTCCTAGACAGAGCCAACAAGACAGAGATTGACCTTGACCTTCCGGGGGTGACCAGAGAGAAACACCAAGGACACCAATTGACATACAAGTAGGTTGTCATGACGGTACTCACTCACTGCAAACTGCCCACGTCCCCACTAGTGGCCATGGAGATTCTAGCTTCGTTTTCAATAGGACGGAATAAAATGGGTTGAGAGACTTGAATACTCCGCAAAACTCATTGTTGGGGATTTGAACCAGGGTGGTTGACCCCATAAAATACAAGTTAAGTATCAGATGAGAGAGCGCTGGCCCTCCAAATTAAAAACCTCGCTGTCTATAAGTAGGTACCCTGAACAACACAGACTACAGCCAAACCTGTCCAAGACGACCAATCATTTTGTATAGCGCAAATCCCGGCGCAACGACAAGCTCTATGCGCTTCACAATCTAAGCTATTACCCCAGCAGTAAGTGTTTTACGGCGCTCGCAACTGCATACGGTCATATGAGCGCGCGGGATACACCTAACATGTTCAGTTGGTAGGAAATTTTGAATTTTGCCCGGGTGGCGGCCTAAGCCTACTCTTATCGATTTTAGACCACCAAGGGATATTTAACGTGCGCAACTTGCACTCGAGCCCTCCGAGATTTTTTGCACGTGTCCGAAAAGGCTAGGTGTAGATCTTTCCTACCAGAAGATCAGGGGTGTTGCAGAAAGACAGGAGTAAGGAGGAGCCAAGGAGTAGCAGTAGAAAGGCTGCAGAAAGAGTCAGGAGCCCAGAGGAGGGGGCAAAGGAGGTGAGGGGGTGGGGGCAGACATTGGAGAAGAAAGCAGACTACAGAACATTGCTAGAGAGCAGGAAAGGAAGTGAAAGGAGACAATTTTAGAGAAGAAAATGTTTCGGTCGCTACCCAGCTTTGAACCCGAGACCTTTGAATGAGAGGAGAACACCTTAACCTCTAGGCCACGAGAGCCCCCTTATTTTATGTTCAGCATTAGTAAAAGTTGAATGGCACTTACAGCACATTAAGGTTACATAAGAGTCAAAGTTCAGAGTGTAACAAAAGAGTAACAAACACAAAAAGAAAGAGGGTGGATGAGGACGACAGGTATTGGAAAGTGGTCATTTATACGGGTTGCAAGTGCTGTATAACTGAAAAACTAACCCCCCCCCCCCCAAAAAAAAAAAAAAAAAAAACCAACAAAAGAAAAAAACACAACCCAAAAAACAACAAAACAAACAAAAATACTCCTCCTTCTCCTCCTCCTCCTCCTCCTCCTCTTCTTTTTCATCTTCTTCTTCTTCTTCTTCTTCTTCTTCTTCTTCTTCTTCTTCTTCTTCTTCTTCTTCTTCTTCTTCTTCTTCTTCTTCTTCTTCTTCTTCTTCTTCTTCTTCTTCTTCTTCTTCTTCTCTTCCTTCATGACTTCTTCTTCTTCTTTTTCTTCTTTTTTCTCCTCCTCCTCTTCCTCCTCCTCCTCCTATCATCACTCCCCTCATTATCACTCTCTACACCACTATGTTTCAGCCTCTGACGTGATGGATAACCAAGCCTACGAGCACGAGCAAGACCCAGCTGGAGGCTACAGCCCACAGCCGTCAAATCTACCCACCCCTGGGTTCTCCATCCACCGATTCCGTCATGAGAAACGAGTGGGCCTGGCAGAAGCAATGACCGAACTGAGCAATAAAATCGGATCCGACACCTTCTGCGCCCCACTCAATCAAGGGGAGCTTACTGCCACGGACAAGTTTAAACTTGGATTCCTGATTGCCTTCCCTTGTTTCTTCTTTGCTTTAGGGATTATCTTGACTTCGGTTTTGAGGTGAGGGGGGATGATTCGTCGTGTGTGCAGACACGTAAACGCACACACACACACAAACACACACACACACACACTCACTCACACACACACACACACACACACACACTCACACACTCACACACACACACACACACACACACACACACTCACACACACACACACACACACACATATACACACACGCACGCACACACGCTAACGCATTGAAACACTGACTCATTCCCACACTTATATACACGAAGAAACACAAACACTTAAGCGTTCTCAAACAAGAACACACTCTCAAGCAGACTCATCCATGCATTATATTATTATTATTATCATTATTATTATTATTATTATTATTGTTATTATTGTTATTATTATTATTATTATTATTATTATTATTATTATTATTATTATTATTATTATTATTCAGAACGTGTGACGGCCCGGCGTAGAAATATATTATAAATATTGTATTCTTTAAAGATTGAATAATTTTCATAGATTAAATCGTATATTTCCTACTTAAAAACAGAAATGTTTTCCTTCATTTCTATACAGAGCTATTTGGGAAGACGTGTGTGCATTGTGTGGTTGTTTGTCTGCCTGTGTGTTTGTTTGTTTGTTAGTTATGTCAGTGTGTTTCATAGTGTAATGCCTTTGTGTATGTTTGTTCACCTGTCAGTTCGTTTGATTGTTTTCTTGTCTGTGTATTTGTTTGCTTGTAAGTATATATGTGTGTTTGTTTGTTTGTCTACCTGTCCTCTCTGTGTGTTTGTTTGCCTGTCTGCGTGTTTATTTGTGTGCTTGCCTGTGAGTTTGTTAGGTTGACTGACCGCCGCCTGTGGTTCGTTTGTTTGTTTTCTTGTCTGTGTATTTGTTTGCTTGTAAGTATATATGTGTGTTTGTTTGTTTGTCTATCTGTCCTCTCTGTGTGTTTGTTTGCCTGTCTGTGTGTTTATTTGTGTGCTTGCCTGTGAGTTTGTTAGGTTGACTGACCGCCGCCTGTGGTCAAAGGATCAAGCTGCTCAGGTTGGTGGCTAGTTGGCGAGTGCTCTGGTGTAGTTTGCTCCTTATTTCCTATCTAACATCTATCGTCATTATCTCTCCTCCTTCTTTTCAGTGTTTGTTACTCTCTTGTAACACCTCTAATCGTCGGCCCTTATATGACCTTATTATTGTGTTTCAAGTGCCTCAAAACTCTTACTAGCACTACAACTAAAGACTAAACATTTTGCATACAAAAGACTTGAGTTTGATTCCCCTACCCGAGAGTCGTATCGAGTACCTCAATCTTTCTGCTGGCGTTTGTGGTGTAGCGGTTAGATTCATCTCCGTCCCATGCAGAAGAGAGGAGTTTGATTCCAGTTTTGGGATACTAATTTTTATCCTGTATCTCGGTCGTTCTGCTGTGATGTTGAATTCCTCTCTCAGCCTGGGTTTGCCCTGACTGACAAGATCGGAAGCCGGCCCCCTAAATGATCTAAATCGGTGTTGATGGACACCTACAATAAAAGAAAGACCAATCTTTCTTCTGAAAAACTGATTGCATACTACCTCTTTCCTGTAATGCCACAAGAGCTTGGTTCGAACCAATCCGCTTCCCCAATGATCAGTGAGTGGTTGGTGGGTGCTCTAGAGTGGTTTACTCCTTCTTTCCTATCAAACGTCTATCGTACTTATCTCTCCTCCATCTTTTGTGTGTGTGTGTGTGTGTGTGTGTGTGTGTGTGTGTGTGTGTCTGTGTCTGTGTGTGTGTGTGTGTGTGT